TTCAATATTTATTTTAATACATAATGTGGCAGATTTTGATTTTCCTCAAATGTACATGCGATATTTTAATATAACAAAAAATGTATGAATTTGGATTACAAAAGGGAAAGAAGAATGTTTTACAAGACGATTTAATAAACATACAGGTTCCAATCACAGAAAATAACTTATATTATACAAACAAATAAAGTTATATATTTAAAGTCGCTCATGAATCTCTTTAAAAACCTTTAAATATTTCAATTTTATACAATACTTCTTTGAATAAGGTTAATACTCTTTTAGAATAAAATAGCCTTTTCAAAATTGTATTTGTTTACAGTGATTAAATTTAGATGTGCGAAAACGCTGTCATAGTGCATTAAAATTCCATCCATTCTTTGCATGTAATTGCTTAAGCAAGAAAGAAACTGGCTTTGTGTCAAACAAAAAGCAACTCTATGCGCATCTGAATTGTACCCTAAATGTTCAGCATCTGTGATAAAAATGAACTACAACACTGACGCTAAGCGTCGTATCTAAAGTATGCATAGTTATGTTTGGTTTACTCTGTACTTTATTATTAAATTTCAGTAAATGTTTAACTCAAATTTAGACCAAATACCTCTATTTAAAAGAAGCACATAATACGTATATCACATAATGATGCGTATAGGGCTTCTGAAGGAGTGAGCTACAATTCTCCTTTTCCCTACTCCTGTACTCTTCACTGCATAATACCCATGTGTGGGCTATGGCGAACCTCCATGCAGTACGATATAATGTAACACAAAGCTGTTTTTCCGTAAATGATTGCACAGGCGATTGTGAGGGTTCATCTCACCAGACCTTACCCGTTGTCTTTTAGTTTTACCAGTAGAACTGCTTGATGTTTCAGAAGCACCTACTTAAGCAACTTTGGGATGACAAGCAACTTTTGGCTTCCAGCGCAATAGGACTCCTGCCCATTTTAAACCTAGCGTTCGTAACTACTTAGACATAACATTTGGCAAATAGTGGATCGGGAATGGTGATTCAGGCATTGGCCTGCTCGATAGCCGGACCTGCCATGCTTGTGTTATATAAAAAGTACTAGTGCATGATATTCTGTTGACGGCGCCGAGAAGCTGTTTGCACGCATCAGAGCTACTGATGGATAGCCAGAGACAAACCAGGAATCTTGTAGAATATTCTAAATTCTATGCATCGGCAGAAAGGTAAGATCTACATTACAGCTCTTTAAGATGCTTCGATTACTTTCTTTATATTATTTTTGTTAATGTACATTTATTATTTAAAAGCAAATTCAGTTGAATGTTTTTTTCTCGCACATACACATGCCATTTCCGACTCAACATTTCTCTGAGACGCCAAGACGTCGTTCCTACTCTTCCTACATTTTTGTAACCTTGGTAATAAGAACCCCTGCAGCTTTATAACTGAGTTTAGATTTTTAATAAAATGAGAATCTTATTTTTAATTTTGGATTTTAAGTAAATATAGCCTCTTTGCTAAATATTTAAATCACTCCAATTGTGAATTCAGATATTTCAAATGATAATAATCAATTTAAATGACATTTTATTGAATTTAATTAAACAACGGTTCATTATTAAAAACAAACATGCAGTCAATAAAATCTGTAAGGGAATGGATCAGCTCGCAGCTATGGGCCAGGATATATGCGATGTTGCATAATCCCACAACGTACGCCACTAACAGAAGTCAACATGCTTATCACCCTGAACTGTTAACATGTCACCGCGTTCGGCGTGTTCACACACTCAGCAACCTACGCGCTCCACAAATATATATTCGTCAGGACCTTCCCGTGTCCCCATTCCAATGCCTAGCAATCACATGCTAATCCCATATCATGGCCCCTCGCCTGTAAACACCCCCTTCACAATGTACCAAATATGTGGTCAAAATGAGGCCAAATATATGCCTGATATGTGGTATATGTGTATTATGTGTTTTAAGTGTGTTTTATGTGTCTTCAGTGTTAATGAAGTATATCTTTTGTGTGTGTGTGTGTGTGTGTGTTTTGTACATTTCTAGGTTTTTCTGTGTTTTCATATATTTAGTATTTAGCTCTGAGCCCCTCATCTGTAAGTCCGTCCCACAAATCTCATACCTGTAATTAGTCAAGCAATGTCAAAAGTCGCCCCTGTTTGGCCATGTAAACTCCTTTTGTGTTCTCAAAAAACTCCCGGTGTGGTCCTTCGAAGCCCGAGGGAGTTGTTGTCACTAGATAGTGGAAGGCGAGGGACACATGCCTGTTTATCTCAGGTAGCCATCAAGCGTCCCGTCTTCCGTCATGTACCTACCTACCTACCACCAGCTGAGTTGCCTTACCGCCTGTTATATGACTATCAGCATTTGTACTCAGTTGGTGGAGCATTCTATTCTAACCTAGCCAAAATCTTTAGAGAATATTAAAATTTAATTAAAAACTGCCGTCCCTTCATTGAAAGTTACAATGGCCTTCCTATTATGTACATCCATAATTAACAGACCACCGACTTCGGACTTAGTAACGGCTAATATCTCTAAACGGCAAGAGGCCACCATTGGGAAGGAATAAAAAAACGCCTGAGAACAGAAAGTATGGAAAGGTTAAATTTATATATGAATTTCTAATATATACGTGTAGTTACAAGATTTAATTAATGTTTGATTTATATAAATCAGTTTACTTTAAAGAAAACAATTAAATTAAAAAACTGTAATTCCTAAAATGTAATTTGAATTATTGGAAATGCAAATTTAAAAAATAAAATGAATAGGTAAATTCTTCAGTAACTAAATGCTTCAGTAACCAAAACTTTCTTGAGCATAAGATTCAATTTATTCTGTAAAAGTGTTGACCTATTCAAGGAAATGAAAATTTAATAAACTTTTCAAGTTTTGTAAAATTTCATTTCTCTTTCCATTTTTCAGTTTTTAACTTTGTAATGCGAATTGGAATTACTCCTTTGAATATTCTTAAACTTTTACAAGTTCAACTGTAACTCGAAAGATTTGATCCATTACATCGTTTAAGAGAGTTAATGGAAATTCGTCTTGCTTCGCTATTAGCGCTTCGTAAAATTGAATTGAATGGAAACTTTCTTTCATTTACAAATGACTGAAGAAGTGATAATTTACTTTTCGCGTGATTATAAAAATAAAAATTTGATAATTATTTTAAAAAAACCTTTTTTAAGATTTTATTTTTATTTTCTTGCTGTTGAAGACAGAATTCATCAGTTTAAAAGTATTGTTTCGTGTAACGTGCTCGTAGAGATATCCTTGAATAACTTCGCTACATGAAGACTTAAAACTTTACTGAAATAAATAATAGTTCCTAGAAAGCTTCCTAAAGTTTCGTTAACAACAATTTTGTGAATGATGAACTTCCACTCCGTTTCGGTACAGAAGAGCGGTAAAACCTATTTCGAGCGCAATTCTGTTCTTTCGACAAAGTATTTTAAAGTTTGGCAGTACAACTTCCTAATGCACGCATTAGCAGACTGATAACGGTTTGATAATACCGATTGAGTTCCAATGAAACTGAAGTGATAAATGAATTTTACATTTATTTGTGCTATTTTTTGAGTTGAATGTCATCATCGGTTTATTATGAGTTTTGAGAAGTGTTTCTCAAACATTTTGATTACCTTCCACTTTTAAAAACCAGAATGTTCAACGTTCCTCTACGAATATACTTCCCTATTTATTATAAAACTTTGTAAGAAAGTAAAGCAGTAATGGTGAGGTTGCGTTAGCTATACATGAATGAAATTAGTAGTAACATACAGACTTATTCAACGGTAAAAAAAATTGGAATACAAGGCTAAACGTTTAGACAAAATTCAATAGAAAGAATGAGCTTGATGCGTTTTTACCAGTTTGCCAATAAGCAGCTCCATATTGATGAATTCTTAATAATATGCTCAGATCTTCCTGAATGGCTAAATATAGCCCACTTCATTTCTCAGTCATTGGACTTGTTCTTACACTGAGCCTGCTCTCTACTAAATAAAGCGAAAAGCCTACAAAATGTTTTGTACAATGTTTCATAACACCAGGATAAATTTCAGGTAGCTGTTTCTACAGCCATAACTATTGGTATCCACATTTAAATTTAAATTTCAGCTTATCGTTTGCTAAACTGTCCTAAGCTTGAAGAGATTTTTAAACTGCACAGGAAATGGCTACAGCACGCTGAAGTACAACCGTTTCTAAAATGTCCTAAAATTGTTTCTTAAAATCCAATTCCAATACTGAAGTTTCCATTCGTCATTCGTTTCGACATTTCAAAATTAATAAAACTAATGAAAAGTTGTAATGGTTTTACGATTCTAAATAGGGAAAGGTGCTTTCAATGTTTTTCTGTATATATTAATGTAGCAATATAAATTCAGACCAAGTAACGCACCCAGGGCTATTTTAATGCTTTCGAATTTCAAAAATTGATTAAATTTGGTTAACTGGATTCCATTTAATAAGGTTAATTATGTTCCATTTAACATTCTGAAGAATAAAGGTAAGATGCATAGATTTCACAAATACTTTCAAACCTGAGACTCAGCTTTCCTTTTAGAGTGCTTATCAAATATTATCTATGTTGAAGGGAAGTATAAAGTGTAAAATGTGTTAAATTCATGATTACTTTACTTTATAGAAAGGTTTAATGTTTTCAGAACACTTTTGATATTTTTTCAACAACACACGCAAATTCTAATTTCCTAGGAAATGGATGTCTTCATTGATGAAAAAGTAAACAAAATCAGTTTCTGTTCTTAGTATATATATTAGGAAACTATGAAAATACTCATGTATTCAGAAATCATTCAAAACTAACAAACATTCGCTCAAACACTATGAAGAATGAAGTTTTAAAGCAGTAGCATTAAATCCACAGTTTAGTCTTAGAACTACTGTACCTTAAAATCTTCATTTTATTATTTAAAATAATTATTGTATACATTTTCTTAAATCTTGTGATTTTAATATATTTGATACATGTTTTTAAGGTGTCCATGGCAGAAAAGGGATTACTACGACTATATATTCATCAGCCCAGTAATTCTTGTTCTATTGGTAAGCATTCTCGTTTCTTCATAACACTTACATTCTTTTATTAATTTCATTCCTTTCATTCATGTGTTGAGCATCTATGAATGACGGCACTGTAATCGAGCAAATGTTAGATCGAACTGTTCGAATTTTACATATTTCAGATGATAATGATTATAACAAGAATATTTCAGGCAGCCCGATATACATGCCAATCTTCTGCATGAACAGATAGTAGAATATTGCCCGATATTAGCCACTTGTTTCCAAGTGAAGCATTCTTCAGATGAAGTTTCTAAACAACTTTATTCATATTTTGTCGAATAACCGAAAAATCGAAGAAAACTTCATTTAGTTAAATACGCTTTTCGTCTCAAAGCAAAATCTTAAAAAAATAGCTAAACTATGAGTATTTCTGTAATATGTTTTCTGGTAATATCCCAAAAATATTCTGAAATGTTTTAAAAAATTATCAACTTTTCAAAACAGATACAAAAAGAGTTATGTCTTGGCCTCTAAACACTAGACACATTTCATATTTACTTGCGTATTTTCGTATTAGCTCTTTTAGCATACAATTTATAAATTTTTGATTTACTCGTATAATTCTCCCCCCCCCGTACACACACACAAACACAAGAATGGAGAGTTTCTGAGATTTCTAGGACTGTATGGAGGAATTTTTGAAGCTGATCAGATTAGAATTCTAATTATTATACTTAATTTTTAGACAAAGCCCGACAGATCCGCAATTTCTACAACCCACATTCGAGTTTTATAAAAGCAATTTTAAATACGGATAATAAGAAATTCGTACAAATAATGACATAGCATACAAATGATGCGTGAATTTAATATTGATCTTAGTATGTAAATTGAATTTAATATTGATCACAGTAATAAGACAGTGATATATTGAGAAACAAAAATAGTGTTTTAGATACAGTTAGATATTAAAAACCCGTAAACGTTAAAATATCATGGATGTGCCTGGGAGAGAATGATAGTACTTAAGGACGCCTATTTCAAAGCCCCTGATGTAGCCTTCGCGAAAGTGCAATAGAGCTATAATTTAACATCTTTTTACACAGTTTTATTAGTCATTCGAATCAATATCAATCACATAATAGGAAAACAATTCTATAACAATGCAGAGAAATGTCTCTCAAGGACCCAAACTGAAGGGATCATGAAACTGATTGTAAATAATTAAATAATGTAAACCTATAAAGTGCAAAATTATAATACAAGAAACAGTAATGATGAAATCTGATCTTAATAATAACACTTCTAGTCATAAGTTTTCACTTTCATAAGACATTCACGTTAAAAAGAGTACTTTTTAGTCTTTTAAGTTCCTATTTTTAGTTTTTTCGAAATTTTGCAACTACGTTCTTTTCCTGTATCCATTTTCTAGTTGTGAAAATTGATTAATTGAAAGAAAAGACATGAGTTTAAATACAGTATTATACGGGTTGACAAATACCTCGTGTCAATTGCCCGATGTTATGCTTAGGTAATAAATAGCCCTTACATAGAGACATTATATATAAACTAGAAATCCCGGCGATCATACGAAATGACCGCTGTTCTAGATATTATAAATTGTAATTAAAATGGTTTGTGCAAAGGTGTCTGCTAATTTAAACTGAATTACCCAGGGCAGGCGGCGAGGACGCGAGGACGCCCCTTTGCTTACTGCCCCACGGGGTTTCCCCCTTCTTCTTGCTTAATTGCTTAAAGTAGAGTGCAGTGAAGGAACCACTGGCGGTACATTTCTTAAGAGCCACCACTAGCTCAATAAATAAAGGTGATTTAAATAATGAAATGTTAATTCACATGTCAAAGACCTCTTTGTACACAACATTTCTTGTGTAGATCTTTCCATCATTTTTAAGCTAGCCTTACAGAGGACCATCAATTATTTTTAATTTTACGTCCGTTCTTTCACGAATTCTTGAACAGGCAACATAAAGTTGGCCGTGTCCAAATGCAGGCTCAAGGTAAAAAAATGCCAACACGCTTAAGCGTTTGGCCCTGAGACTTATTGATAGTCATAGCGTAGACAATTACAGGAAATTGTCTACGTCTCAATTGAAACGGCATCCCTGTGCCGTGGCAACTTCACCCCATTGGCTAGTAGAGTTACGCAAGCAAGCAATAAACTATCGGCGACAAACAGACACTTAAGCCGCACATATATATGGGAGTGAAGTAACATTTTCTCTTCCGAAACGGCTGGCTCCTGGACTCAGCGAAGCACACCGCTGGATTCTGCTGGTCCGTGGCACATGGGTTTTCCCTATTAGAGGGATTTGACTATGTGCCAAATTCTTTTTTCTCGAATATCTACGGAACGGCGCCGAGTTGAAATTCGAGACGCGTATCCTCGGATTCCAAAAAATTCTCTGAATCCATCGATACCGTTCTCATCTTCGTACGACTTTAATCAGCTGAGATATTAATTAAAAACTTCGGAAACGTTAATTTCCGCGCTCATTTTTTCTAGTGGCAACAATAAACTATCGGCGACACACACTTTAGCCGTTTATATATATAATAAAGATATGCAAGTATCAACCTTAGATTGGCACTGGTTTTAGAGAAAACGCTATCGATTTCGAGAGAGTGTTGAAATGAGGTCCCTTTTCTTCAACAAGTAAAAGTACTCTGCTTCTTGAAAAAGAAAGTAATCTATGCAGTATACTTTTTTTCCCTAAAAATAAGGTACCTTGTTGCTCGACTTTCTCTAAATCGATAGATTTTTCCAAAAATCAAACGCCAACGGAACTTTGAATTTACCTGATTTTACATTTTAAATTATATTGTGTCGCTCCCTAAATAGCATTATCTTTCAAACTGCTGATAAAAAGAATTCATCCAAACTATTTATAGAATTAATTTAACTGTCATATTGATCTACTCCGTAAATAACAACCATATTATAACTTAAATCAAACAGAACTTAATTTATTTTAAAATCTCAAATTTTGTAATTATTACTCTTAATTTTATACGAATTAGAGAATATAATGAATGACTAATTGCAAATTAACCATTTTCTGCTCAAATTTATTGACATGGAACATTTAAATTAAATTAGAAACTGGAATGAAAAGAATGACATGAATCGTTTGCACAAAAGAAAATCCGCTGAAATTTAAACTTCCCAGTTTCTTCGGAAAAACGTTCAAGAGAAATATCACTCGAAAACATACCTCGGTTACTCGTTGTTTTACGCCAGATATTGGGATTATGAAACTTCACTTAAATTTGAAGAATTAGTTTTATACTCCTTTATAAAGTAAAGGAAATATCGTAATCCAAAAACATTTCGAGTATCCCAAAGGAAATATTCATTTTGATCGTTCCCGATCCATTCTGACTATTATCTTGGGTGACATTTGTGTGTATAGACAGAACAGAGGACTCATTTTTCTCATTCTCATTCGAACTACCAGCATTCAGCGGTCTTAACCACTTGACCACTAGTGGAATATATTCTTAAGATATGTGAATCTATCAGCAAAATATGATGAGAAAAGAAAAAGAAAAGTTAATAAATCAGATTTTTGAGAACCAGTTGAAACAAGAACTAATTTTGTCAGAAAATCTTTTTCATGGTGAAATAAAAGAAATTAGAAGTATATTAATCTCCTTTTTAAAATGGGTTTATAAAAAATAAAACGAGATTGCTTCCAATTTCAAGCTTCTGACGGGGGAAGAATTAATGTCATTGTATTTAAGTCTTTTGAAAAGGAACAGCTTAGCGCTTATATTCAAGTTATATAAGTGTTTCAGGTATTCTATCAGAAATATCTAATTTTAAAAAACAGGCTATATCAATAATCTGGTCGCTAAAGCGAAATCAGGCCTTTTAAAGATAATTCAGAAACGCAGATTAATTTAAGTCATACCTGTGAATTCGGAAGGTATTAAGAATATTTACTAATCACTAATCACTTAGTTGCTAATCACTAAGTGTGTTAGAAGCCCAGTAAAAATGAAATACCCAGAATCTTCTCTTGACCTAAGAAAATTCTCAAATATCACTGTATGGATCATAAACAAAATAATCATGTTGATTTTTAAAAATATTGTCGATTTGTTTTCATTAAAATATAGAAAACTTAAATTCCAAAAAAGCTTGAATGTTAATATTGCATTTTTTTGTTTTGTTTTTATTTTTTGTTAACCGTAGTACTATTTATTTACATTATTTCAAAGCTAATTGTTATTTATTAAAAATGTACATTTTAACATTTTCGTTTGAAAATAATAAATTATTACATGAATTAATTTTTTGAGTGCAAGTCGTTACTTAAAAGTATTATAAGAGGTATGATATGATTTTGCATGGTTAATCTGATTGTATTTAAGGGCGCTTATTTACCTCTTTGCGTCAGATGAGAAAAATACCTATACAAGGCTCTGAGTCAATCTGACGATCAAATAAACTAAATGTATTCACAATAAAGGCAAATCCTATCTCAAAATTTCTCTCTCACTCTCTTGCTACATGCAAAGAATCAAAGCAAACAAATTTATGCCGGTAAGCTATTGCAAGTAGCAGAAATGGAAGCTAGAATAAACCAGTAAGTCTTAAGATATAAATCCTTTTCTGCTAAACTTTGAAACTTGGTTCTTACACTTTAAACTAATTTGCCTTCTTGCGAAAATTGGCGAAAATTAGAAGTATAGAACAGAAAAATAAAGAATAACCGATTAATTAAAATAAAACCCTATGAATTCTAGTTTGTTTATTATAAATATTCATATCAGAGTTTCAGAGTTTTGCAAAACATATCAATTAGAAATTTTCGCTATTTCTTTTTATTCATAATATGTGTTGGGCATTCTTAACATCAAATATGGATATTCTTATGTGTGTGCTGTGATTAAAACTTTTTGATCTTTGCAAAACATAGCAATTAGAAATTTTCGCTATTTCTTTTTATTCACAATATGTGTTGGGCATTCTTAACATCAAATATGGATATTCTTATATGTGTGCTGTGATTAAA